GAGAGTCAACGCGAACACTTTTGATATGTTCACATGTTTCTCTGACTTTTCAACCAACACAAAATTCAAGAAGAAGCATGTCGTAAAGATCATTTCAGAACACTTGGAAAGGCTTCTTCGGAAATTCGAAGATTACTTTCCTCCTGAAGACGATCCACGGACAGGCTACATGTGGGTACTCGATCCATTCACCCACTGTGGAAACCCAGAGAATAAACTGTCTGCACTGGAGGAGGACAATCTCATTGAACTCACAAGCGATCGAGCCCTGAAAGAAGAACTTTCCAATCTAACACTACCCACGTTTTGGTCGAAGATGAGCAAGGAATATCCAAAATTGAGTGAGAAAGCTATTAAGCGACTTTTGCCCTTTCCGTCAACGTATCTCTGTGAGTCAGCCTTTTCCATCATGACGAGTATGAAGACGAAAGCCAGAAATCGACTTGACGTAACAACAAACCTACGTGTGGCCATATCAAACATTCAGCCAAGATTTGACAAGTTAGTGAGCGATGTGCAAGCCCAACGTTCTCACTAAAGTAAGCCAAAATAAATTATATTACCATTAGTCTGGAGTGGGCCTCGGATCACTTTGTAGTTGTTAAGGTGGTCCGTGGGACCAAAAAGGTTGAGAACCACTGGCCTAGATCATAAGATAATGCAGACAACACAGTTTCATTTTTTTACTGCAATATTTTAATAATAGCAACAACATGACAGAGGATGCAACCTAACATCGGGTAGTGCTCCTTTGAGCCTCCGGAAGGAAATTCTCAGGAATACCATCAACTAAAGGCCGCAATCAGTCAATTTGAATATCATTTCAAGTAAAACTAATAGCTTCAAGAGCTATTTCTTCCTTCCTACAATGTTTTTTGGTTATTCTCTGACTGATAAGATTTGAGACATTCTGAATAGGAACGATATGTTCATTACGCCCTATCCAGGGTTGGACTTCGATGGGAACCTCCTCCAATTTTGGCCAAAGACAATCTGGAATTGCGCGCTGGAGTAAAATCTTGCTGAAAATCTTGCTTTTATCTATTATTCGAGAGTCGTTTTTCTTGGGAACCAGTCTCAGTACATTATTGAACGTTAGTGGACGATGGTGAGATACCCCCTCTTCCGTTTTCAGCGCCACCGATTCATTAGGTATGCTTTGAAATGGAGTCAGGTAAAACACCCAACGATGGACCGGTTCCCAGTGATGGGCCATAGCACATAAAAATGACAACAGATAAGCTTGCATTGCACGCATATCGCTGTAGTGACGTGCTAGCAACTTGCAAGCATATTTATCACTTCAGAGGTTTTCATGCCATACATGCTTAGTTCTTGGAAATTTCTTGTGCCGTGGCCCATCACTGAGTGCAGGCCCTTGACAGGTCCATCATTAGGTATTTTACCCTACCCAAATTCCCCGACTTGCTCAAATTCCCCTATCCTCCATATGTTGGGACATTGCCTTCTCGATATCTGAATATTGGAAAGAAAGTTTCACCTAGCTTGTATCGGTCCGAAAATCTTGACGCTTCGAGATTCCGATGCATTGAAGTCCTTCGAGAAAGCATAGAGCTCTTCTAATAATAACTCTGTACAAACCGTTTGACGTATTCTTTCGTTCAACTCGGTAAAAAAAAAAAAGAAGTCAGAGGTGGAAATGGAAGTGGTGAAACCGGTCCTCATTAACGTAAACTGAAATTCTATCTGCCTCGGTCCGCCTTTC